TCAACAATTCTAGGCAAGAATTTAGTGAAATAAAAGTTCTTTAGTCTTGCAATAGATCTTTTACAGAAATCAGGATCATATGTCACATTTACAGTTACATAATCTGAAGTTGACCACACAATAAATTTACAAAGTTTCAATCCAGTTACATACATTGTTAACTGTACTTGGAGGTAATAGCCCCTGGGTCCATTTGGTTTTAACACATACATATCGGCTTCTTTAACAATATCATACTTTCCAGAAGTTAACAAAGTGTCTAAAGACATATCTTTAAGAAATGGACATTTGATTTCCAACAAGTGGTCACAAGGAGTTTGGATAATTCCATCGGGCGATACACTGAGCCATGGTTCACTTTGGGATATAACTGTTCCTACATCTGATATGATGTCCCCATCATTCCTCAGCTGCTGTTTAGCTTTAACCTCTCCGTCCTGTCCGTGCCTAGTGTAAATATTGCCTCTAAAGGTAGGATAAACATGTTCTCTTATGAAACTGTCTGGATTTGTTGTTTCCCGAATTGGTACCTTATGTGATGAACTGCCAGTAATTCTCAGTTTTCTGCTATCATGCCACAGCTCGGATTGGGATTGAGAAACAGTGTTGTGTGTCACAGATGATATCTGATGAGGTGTGAGCTTCACATATTTGTTGTAAAACTGTGCACACTTTTCACAGGATAAATCAACATCATGGTCAGAATGGAGAAGTGAAGCACATATTGAAGTATTGGTGATGTCAGCACTTGCAGATTTGTTGATAAGTGAATCCTTGATGTAAAATAAAGGCATTAATGTTGAACTATCAATAAACTTTTGAAACTCTGAATGACTTGAGAAGGTTTGAAAAGAAGAAGGAGTATAGTTTAATTCCTGGTCGATGTCATCTTCGTCCGTCTTATTGCGTTTTGGTTTGGAGAAATCCATGTCTGCAACAGGACCTGGCTCAATGTTCTTTGTCGTTCCTTTATTCCACTTAGCCTGAACATCTGTGCAACTCTTACCAGTAAGTCCTGTTTTGACAGCATATTCCACTTTCCACAACAACGCACCTACATGACTACAAGTCTTACTTACACCTGCCATACACGAACAGCCCCCTGTGTTGATTGTACCGTTACTGTCGCAAACAATCCACGGATGGTGGTACTCATTGTTCATTCTCTGTGATGGTCGTACATTACATTTCATAACAATGCCGTCAACAGTAACATGGTGTAAAATCTTATCAACAGCACCACTCTTAAAGTAGTTGAAACTGTCCATAGACTTGAAATTCCTCATCTCTTCTCCGTCACATGATCGACTCAAAACTAAATAGTTGTAAATATCGCCATACTCGATCTCTGGCCACTCGCGCATGTCATCGATCCACTCGTTTGATTTAACATCCTTTGATGTGATGGATTTTGCAACAGCCTCTATCATTGAATTTATCATTATCAACTTTACGCATGTGATTATAAATTCAGTGAAGTTCCAGTGAATTTTACAGAAATATCAATGCTACCTTGTTTTGCTTTTCGAATTGCCCGCCTTTATGAGTATGATCACTTCTGTAATGGCGGCACGATGTTAGCGGCACCTAGCGAGTATAATAATTACTACGGGCGACGACTGAAAAAAGTCGTGTATATGTCACTTGTGTGAAAACCATGGTTACCACATCAAAAATTACGAGAAAATGCCAAAAATCACAATTTTTGACCCAAAATTTGACCGCCACAACTAGTTTTTTTGTTCCTAAGTTCTGTCTAAAATCAAAGATCACATACTTGGTTACAGAATTATCCGTGTTCCAGCATAGGTCGTTCCGGTGGTATTTTAGCAATTTTGCCTCATGTGCTGTGTTCACAATTTTACTTCCTGAAAAGCTAGTTTTTCATGTATAGACACTGTTTCGGAAAATGGCCAAAATTTTATTCTCTAACCAAATACATTTAGTTTTGTTTTTAGAAATGTGAAGCCAACATAGTCCAATTCATCATGCTTATACCAATTTTAGTACAGTTTTATTTTCATTTATTTTTTACATGTCATAATACAGGGGTTAGCCATTTAACAAAAATATCACCCATGGCCACAACCCTCTACTGTATACTGCTACCGTAGCGTCAACATTTTATTATGAATATGACAGAGTCAACAGGGTTAGTGAAAACGAATCATTCATCCCTTTGAGGTGAGATGGGGAATCTCAACTCTCGATGAAAGATTCTTAAGTTGCCAAGCGCTCGGCGAGCCTCGTTTATGGCAACTTAAGAATCTTCCATATTGAGTCGAGATTTTCTGTCTTTCACCCAGGGGAGTAAGAGATTATATTATTCTCCTACCATGGACATTCGTATCCACACTTTTTCCCAATGTGAGATATCCTTGTCTCACCATAGGATTGAGAGGGTATTCCTCATTTATAACAATTGTATGACGTCACGTCAACCATGCATTATGTATAAGATAGAGTAAACAGGGTAAGACAAAAAGAATCCTTCACCTCTTTTGTGTGAGAATGTGAATCTCAAACCTCAGGAAAAGATTCTTAAGTTGCCAAACACTTGGAGCAATCCTCGCATTTAGCAAGTTAGGAAACCTTATCTCACCCTCAAGGAGGAGAAAGATTATATTCATCTAAACCCGAAGGGAGAGATTCTTAAGTTTAAAACATGAGGCTTACCCCTTGGGTTGAGATTCCCAGTCTTACCTACGAATCTTCCCACGAGAGTTTAGATTCCCCGATTCACTTCAATGGGATGAATGATTCTTTTTCTCTTACCCTGTTCATCCTGTCATATTCATAATGCAGTGTGAAGTTACTGACTCAATGCATTGTTGGTGCGACGTTAATGCATTGTTTCAGTGAATTGTCATACAATTGTCTTTACTGGGGAATCCCTTCGTCACAAACCTAGGATAAAACAAACGAGTTCTCACTAGAAGGAAATGTATTAATACACCTGTCTATGGTAAGAGGAAGATATGTCTTACATCTAACGACCCGTTTTTACACTGGACAGTTCAGTCATATAATCACAGGGTTAAGAGAATAATGTAGACTTGGTAACATTTACTGTAGCAAATAACAATAAGCATGCATTAAATGTACATGTAAGTATAAGAGAGATATGTAATTATAATTTTATAATTCAGTAATTTGAAAATTCCAACTAAAACTAAATACCAATGATGTCATAAACAAACTTACTAAACACTTGAACGTCACATAACTCCACCACAGCGTCTTCTGGTGAGTAATGTGATGGGGAATTAACAAGTGACGACGAGCGGTTGTTGTACACAATGACGTACCGCCCAGTTACAGAACACTGACGAGACTGACGATACGATGGAAGACCATCAGGTGTCGTCGTGTCGTCATGGTAACATAGATGTGAACCATTAGGGGGCCCTTTATATGGTTGACGAACTGGACTACTCAAAGACACGTACAGATAATATCCACTGACTATGAACTTGTCTAAAAAAGATGAAATCAAATTGGTTTTCAAGAAGAAATTAAAAAGTATAATTGCTGCTTTGAATCACAAACTCTGTATTACCAGAAAAGATAATGAACATTTGTTAAACCGATTTTGCTCGGTTTGAATGAAATACAAGTGAATAAATTATATGTTGTGGCGTGAAGATGTAAAATTATAACAAAATGAAGTGTTATAGCCACCTTTCCTCTATTGCTGTACAAATATATATCACAGGCCAACACTCCTTTCCCCCTTTTTTTTAACTGAATAATTCAAATTACATAACATAATGTAAATGACGGTATTTAAATATAACGGCCATCAACTTGATCACTTATGCGTAGTATTCCGATGTACTTGACACCATAGCAAAACGCAGTATGTTAAGACTGCAGTTGGTTTAATAAATAACACGTCATGTTGTTACAAAGAATCAAAGTTGAACGTCAATCGCCAACATGTTGTATGATCCAAGTAGCAGAATTGATGTTCTATCCTTACTTATATATAAGATAGCATATGTACTTTCCAAATTGCCTTCGAATCGAGTTAGCCACATCGTGTATTTCAAATTAAAATAATAACCTTCAACCGATACAGTTCTATATTGTTAACAACATCACATTTTCCGATGGTTAATTCCATTGCATCCATATTTCTTATATTGTAATAGGTGTTTTATAGCTACGTATAAGCAAATGCATTGAAATTGGAGACATGTATGCTTTGTGTTATTATCATTTAATTTATAACCCCGAAGCTGTAACCAGCCAACAGATCATTGGTCTATGAAACGATTTTTGATACTTACGTTGATGCTTGAAGACTATATTTATGGTGTTAATCCTGTGTGCCTGTCCCAGATCAACCATCCACCATGCTTCCCTCCATGCGTTGGGATATGTATGGGAATAGCTGTCCTGCCCAGGATAACCGTTTACCGCTTCGTTAGCGTCCCACTGATGATTACTGTTTACAGAACTTTGGTTGACTGCTCGATGATAAGCCAAGTCGCCTGGTTTTGTTAATAATGAATAAATCTAAATTTTAAAATGCCAACTGTTCCTATTTTGATATTGAAAAGGTAATATAAGGTTGTAACATATACACATATCGAAAAAACAGATGTGTTGAAATTGTCTTAACGGATTATCAATGAAACATGTCTTACATGGGGAAATGTACAAAATAGGTTAACGGTTGAAATACAATTAAACCTATTTGTCAAGGCATGTGTATGTTGGGTGTGATTTTGTAAAACACACCATCGAATTTGTAGATTTCAGTTAACTTGTCAACAAAGCAGCAAAAATCAATTTTTGAACAAATATTCTGATTATTAAAAATACAATTCGTTATATACAATGTTAATATCTTCCGTTCCGGTGTATGCACCAAATATACACATAATATGTCTGTTATTTCCCATTCACAATACGATTTGTTTTCTTTTGGCAATATTAAAAGTGAACAAGATGATTTAACATGTTATTTTTTACCTACTAACGTCAATAGGTCTGTTTGCTACAGTTTTTTGAAAAGATTACTCAACGTAATTATCACGTTTGCTGCTACATATTGTATTTGGAGGAAATACTACCACACAAAACTGATATCAGTTGTGTATGCACGTAAATACCTAATTGTATATGTCTAGTACAGTCGCTTCATTTGCATCTCGAACTGAAAATCTACGGGTTTTAATGAAGTGAATAGAAAATACCCTTCTCAATGGTCGATACTTTCCGTGATGTCATCACCTGTGACGATACAATATTTCGTATATCTTCACTGCATTTCCCACGTGTGAAAATGTATATAACTATATGTATAATACTTCGACTGTACATATAGAATAAAAAATATATAAGTTCAATTAAAAAAACATCCAATATGGAGGAAAAGACAGTTTCATCTGATTACTTACCTTGTGTATTTAACCGATTGAATGCTATTGTTAACCTCAGTCAAGCCTTTGTTTCCTTTAAACATATTGAACGATATTTTTTGGATTTTCTCACATTCAAAGTTACAACCATAAATAGCCGTCACAACTAATACTTTAATAAGCTGTCTTACTTGATGCTACATAACAGCATGGTCCTTTCCAGCCAGTCTGACACCCCGCCACGTCACACTGGCCCGTGTCGGGGTCACAACCCCTGTTCGCACAATGACAGGTGAAGCCGCAATCGTCTCCAAATCGACCGACAGAACATCCTAATTAGAATAAGAACACAACCTTAATCTATCTGTTTAAACAATGTATGCGTTCAACTCATCATTTGCTGGCTTGTTTAACACGATGAAAGTATGGAACTACATATGGTAAAGCATAAAGACCGGATACCCTGCATCATTGACAGAATAACAAACTATGACGTCTCTATTGCATATGTAGTATTGGTGCATTTTCACATCATTGATTTTGATGTGAAGTGTTTTGCTAACAGCATTTACCCTCCTGAATCACAGATAATGTTACTGATGAGGAATGCAGCCTGATATGAAACTGATTGGAATGGAAGCTGGTGTGTTTGTTACTGCTGAAACGTGAAAGCTAGTTCATTTTACTGAGTGAAAGGCATTGTGTTTTACTGATGAAGAGTGGTAGATTGCATATTTTACCGATAGGGAGTAAAAGGTGGTTTGTTACTGATGAGAAATTGAAATTAGTTTTTTTTACTGATGGGGAGTAAAAGGCGAACTATTACTGATGAAGAGTGGAAGATCGAATGTAACTGATGAGTAGTGCACGGATGTATTACTGATGAAGAGAGGAAGATAGCATGGTATGTTATAAATGAGTAGTAAAAGACGGTATATAACTGATGACAGGTGGGGTATGGAATGTTACTGATGATGAGTCGAAGATAGTTTGTGTTACTAATGAGGAGTGAAAGATTGCATGTTTTACTGATGGGGAATAAAAGGCGGTGTGTTACTGATGAGAAGTGGGGAAATGGTACGTTACTTATAAGGTGTGAAAGGTGGTATCTTACTGATGAGGAGTGGAAGGTGGTTTGTTACTGATGAGGAGTGGAAGGTGGTATCTTACTTATGAGGAGTGGAAGGCGGTATGTTACTGGTGAGGAGTGAAAGGCGGTAAGTTATAGATGAGTAGTGAAAGGCGGTAAGTTACTGATGAGGAGTGGAAGGTGGTTTGTTACTGGTGAGGAGTGAAAGGCGGTAAGTTACTGATGAGGAAGGGAAGGCGGTATGTTACTGATGAAGGGTTGTTACCTATGATGAGTGGAAGGTGGTATCTTACTGATGAAGAGTGGAAGGTGGTATCTTACTGGTGAAACGTGGAAGGCGGTAAGTTATAAATTAGTAGTGAAAGGCGGTAAGTTATTGATGAGGAAGGTAAGGCGGTATGTTACTGATGCGGAAAGGAAGGTGGTATGTTACTGATAAGAAGTGGAAGATGGTATGTTACTGATGAGGAGTTGAAGACAGGTCATTATACTTATGAGGAGTGGCAGGCGGTATGATACTGATAAGGAGTGGGAGGCAATATTCACTGATGAGGAGTAAAAGGCGGTATGTTACTGATGGGGAGTAAAAGGCGGTATGTTACTGATGGGGAGTGGAAGGCGGTATGTTTCTGATGGGGAGTGGAAGGCGGTATGTCACTTTTAGTATTGGAAGATGGAACATTGAAGGGCGGTATGTAACTGATGGGGATTGGAAGATGGTATGTTGCTGATGTGGAGTAAAAGGCGGTATGTTACTGATAAGGAATGCAACGCAGTATCTGACTGATACGGAGTGGAAAGCAGTTTGTTACTGATGAGAATTAAAAGGCAGTATGTTACTTATGAGGAGTAAAAAAAGTGGTATGTTACATGTGATACTGATGAGGAATGGAATGTGGTATGTTACTTATGAGAAGTGGAAGGCGGTAAGTTACTGATGAAGAGTAAAAGGGCGGCATGTTACTGATGTAGGATAGAACAGGGTACATTACTTATAAGGAGTAGGCGATCGTATGTTACTTATGAGGAGTGGAAGGCGGTATGCTATTAATGAGTAGAAGAAGACGGTAAGTTACTGATGGGGAGTGGAAAGCTGTATGTTACTTATTTAGGGTGGAACACGGTTTGTTACTGATGAGTAGTGGAAGGCGGTATGTTACTGATGAGGAAGGGAAGGAAGTATGTTACTGATGAGGAAGGAAAGGCGGTATGTAACTAATGAAGAGTGGAAGGCGGTTAGTTACTGACGAGGAAGGGAAGGCGGTAATTTACTGACGAGGAAAAGAAGGCGGTATGTTACTGATTGGGAGTGGAAGGTTGTATGTTACTGATGAGTATTGGAGTGCGGTATGTTACTAATGAGGAGTGGAAGGCGGTATGTAACTAATGAAGAGTGGAAGGCTGTATGTTACTGATGAGTACTTGAGTGCGGTATGATACTAATGAGGAGTGGAAGGCGGTAAGTTACTGATGAAGAATTGAAATGGGTATGTAACTGATGAGGAGTTGAAGATTGGGTATCATTAATGAGGGTTGGACGATAGTTCATTTTACTGACGAGGAGTAGCAGGCGGTATGTTTCTGATAAGGAGTGGGACGCGGTATTCACTGACGAAGAGTAAAAGGCGGTATGTTATTGATGAGGAGTGGAAGGCGGTATGTTACTGGTGAGGAGCGAAAGGCGGTATGTTACTGGTGAGGAGGGGAAGGCGGTTGTTACTGGTGAGGAGTGGAAGGCGGTTGTTACTGGTGGGGAGTGGAAGGCGGGATGTTACTGGGGAGGAGGGGAAGGCGGTATGTTACTGGTGAGTAGTGGAAGGCTGTATGTTACTGGTGAGTAGTGGAATGGGGTATGTTACTGGGGAGGAGTGGAAGGCGGTATGTTATTGATGAGGAGGGGAAGGCGGTATGTTACTGGGGAGTAGTGGAAGGCGGTATGTTACTGGAGAGGAGTGGAAGGCGGTATGTTATTGATGAGGACTGGAAGGCGGTATGTTATTGATGAGGAGTGGAAGGCGGGATGTTACTGGGGAGGAGGGGAAGGCGGTATGTTACTGGTGAGAAGGGAAAGGCGGTATGTTATTGATGAGGAGGGGAAGGCGGTATGTTACTGGGGAGGAGTGAAAGGCGGTAAGTTACTGATGAGGCGTGGAAGGGGGTTTGTTACTGGTGAGGAGTGAAAGGCGATATGTTACTGGTGAGGAGTGGAATGCGGTATGTTACTGGAGAGGAGTGGAAGGCGGTATGTTATTGATGAGGACTTGAAGGCGGTATGTTATTGATGAGGACTTGAAGGCGGTATGTTATTGATGAGGACTTGAAGGCGGTATGTTATTGATGAGGAGGGGAAGGCGGTATGTTACTGGTGAGTAGTGGAAGGCGGTATGTTACTGGTGAGAAGTGGAAGGCGATATGTTACTGGTGAGGAGTGGAAGGCGGTATGTTACTGGTGAGGAGTGGAAGGCGGTATGTTACTGGTGAGGAGTGGAAGGCGGTATGTTACTGGTGAGGAGTGGAAGGCGGTATGTTATTGATGAGGACTGGAAGGCGGTATGTTATTGATGAGGACTGGAAGGCGGTAAGTTACTGGCGAGAAAGGGAAGGTGGTATGTTACCGATGGGGAGTGGACGCTTGTATGTTACTGATGAGTAGTGCGGTATGTTACTGATAAAGAGTGGAAGGCGGAATGTTACTGGTGAGGAGTGGAAGGCGGTATCTTACTGGTGAGGAGTGGAAGGCGGTATGTTACTGGTGAGTAGTGGAAGGTGGTATGTTACTGGTGAGGAGTGAAAGGCGGTATGTTATTGATGAGGACTGGAAGGCGGTATTTTATTGATGAGGACTGGAAGGCGGTAAGTTACTGACGAGAAAGGGAAGGGGGTATGTTACCGATGGGGAGTGGACGGTTGTATGTTACTGATGAGTAGTGCGGTATGTTACTGATAAAGAGTGGAAGGCGGTTTGTTACTGATGAGGAGTGGAAGGCGGTATGTTACTGGTGAGGAGTGAAAGGCGGTGTGTTACTGGTGAGGAGTGGAAGGCGGTATGTTACTGATGAGGAGTGGAAGGCGGTATGTTAATGGTGAGGAGTGAAAGGCGGTATGTTACTGGTGAGGAGGGGAAGGCGGGATGTTACTGGTGAGGAGTGGAAGGCGGTATGTTACTGATGAGGAGTGGAAGGCGGTATGTTACTGATGAGTAGTGGAAGGCGGTATGGTACTGATGAGGACTGGAAGGCGGTATGTTACTGGTGAGGAGGGGAAGGCGGGATGTTACTGGTGAGGAGTGGAAGGCGGTATGTTACTGGTGAGGAGTGGAAGGCGGTATGTTACTGATGAGTAGTGGAAGGCGGTATGTTACTGATGAGGACTGGAAGGCGGTATGTTACTGGTGAGGAGTGGAAGGCGGTATGTTACTGATGAGTAGTGGAAGGCGGTATGTTACTGATGAGGACTGGAAGGCGGTATGTTACTGGTGAGGAGTGGAAGGCGGTATGTTATTGAAGAGGACTGGAAGGCGGTATGTTATTGATGAGGACTGGAAGGCGGTAAGTTACTGACGAGAAAGGGAAGGTGGTATGTTACCGATGGGGAGTGGACGGTTGTATGTTACTGATGAGTAGTGCGGTATGTTACTGATAAAGAGTGGAAGGCGGAATGTTACTGATAAGGAGTGGAAGGCGGTAAGATACTGATGAGGAAGGTAAGGCAGTATGTTACTGATTAGGAGTGGACCGCGGTTTTCACTGAAAAGGAGTAAAAGGCGGTACGTTACTGATAAGGAGTGGAAGGCGGTATGTTACTTATGAGATGAAGGCGGTATGCTACTGATGCGGAAGGAAAGGCAGTTTGTTAATAATTAGGAATGGAGTAAAAGGCGGTATGTGAGTGATGAGGAGTGAAAGGTGGTATGTTACTTATTAAGAGCGGAAGGTTGTATGTTACTGATGAGGAGTGGAAGAAGGTATGGTACTGATGAGGAGTGGAAATGACATGCATAAAGAATTGGGAGTAGAAGGCGCTATGTTTTCCTGATGAGGAGCGGAAGATGGTACATTTTACTGATTATAATTTGAAGATGGTAGGGTTTTACTGATGAGAAGTGGAAGATAGTACATTTTGATTTGGACCAGTTACAGAATTATCTAGTGATGGGGAGTAGAAGGCAGTATTTTTAACTTAAGAGGAGTTGAAGGCGGTATGTTACTGATCAGGAGTGGAAGACGGTATGTTACTGATGAGGATTGGTAGGCTGTATGTTAATGACAAGGTGGTGGAGGCGGTATGCTACTGATGGGGAGTGGAAGTGGGTATTTTACTGATGAGGATTGGAATGCAGTATCCTACTAATGGGAGGTATAAATTGGTATTTTACTGATGGAAAATGTAAATTTGTATTTGACTGATGAAAAGTGTTAATTGGTATGCGACTGATGGGAAATATAAATTGGTATTTTACTGATGGGAAGTTGAATCTGGTATGTTATTGATGGGAAGTTAAATCTTGTATGTTACTGATGGGAGGTGTAAGTTGGTACATTAATGATAAGGTGTGGAATCTTGTAAGTTACGAGTAAAAGTGGAAGCTGGTATGTTTCCGATTGGGAATAGATGCTGTGTCGTTGCCTATTAGGAGTGGAAACTGTTGAGAAGGGCAAACTATTGTGAAATACGTGGTTTTTTTTTGCCAGTATGTTTTATCGTGGAAAGATATTAATGTTCCAAGTTTCCATAATTGCATACGTACTTACTTGAAGAGTAAACATGGAAAGGTCCAAAACAGAACAGGATGAGAGCTGTTAAAAGTCCACACATTTGTTATTTGACGAATTCCATCATGCTCCTCTAGCTACCTGAGTGCTATTTTACCCCGGAAACACCGTACCACCTTTTCACACGGAAGTTCTATTACTCGCTGTGCATGTCACTGATAACGTCCATAGAAACAATGTTTTTATAGTATACCCGCTATCGTGTGTTTTAGGGATCAACAAGCCCGCTATTGTATGTAAGTCATTTGTTTATTACATTCAGAGTTTGTCTGAATGATCTTGAGGTGTCAGGAACGTTGTAGATAACAAGCTCAAACTTACATGTAATAACACCAAATGTAACGAATATATATGTAATACAACGTTTATTTCATATGACCGATCACATGGTCCCCGTCTTTTCTATTTAAATGTTATTTCTTTTACAATAGTTATGAAACAAGTTTATCTACTTATAATTATCATTTTTGTTTGGTCCGGATGGAAGCTTAAGATGTCATAAAGTGGAAGGAAACCGGAACACCCGAGAAAATTCACCTTATCGAGGAAATGACTTTTACCAGTTCACGTCTGAGTGAGGACTCGAACACCGGCCGTGTTAGTGAACGGTGAGTGCACTAATCACTGCGTCCACCAGACTTCCTGGTTTTATTATCATATATTGTCCAAAAATTTTATCGGCATATCATATTTCAAATGTGGTTTCGTGTGGCCACAACCATCTTGATTTTAAGCCGGTAGGCATTGCCTGTTACATCAAAGGATACAAAGGGGGTAGTGAGCGGCCGAGAGTTACGTTACCTAGTCTTTGGTTGTGTCGTTTTGTGTTTATAAACTAAATCATTTGTACATTTATATGAACTTCAGATTGTGTGTCATCACAACGTTATTTCCAGGTAACGTGTAACAGTCTATTTGGTTATAAAAGATATACATGCAGACATGTTATAGTGTCGGTGAACTACTTTATGAAGGAATGAATTTTAACGCATTTTCACAGGTTAAACTGAATTGACTATTAAGTAATAAAGGTCACATTCAATGTTTAATCGAGCTCTTTTAATAAGACTTAACATGGGGTTCAGGCTGACCATACTAACCTTTTCTCATTTACCGTATTTTCTTTATCAAATCATAATGAATTTACTCATGTTTTAGAAATATTATAAAATGTTTAATATCGCAATATTCTCTCAATAATGCAATATGCTGCATTAAAAATGCTTGCAATACCCATCCATAGTACTTACATCCAACGTCGTCCTGTGTGACAGTCAGTTTCTGTACACATCAGTGGTCTCTCTTGTTACCGGTTTCTGCTCAATTATTAACGTAAATGTCCATTTTATAGTCCGAAATGTGTACCTGAAGTACATGATTTTTTTAACTGTCATTGCTTTGGAAATGACGTGTCCTGTTAATGTTGTGTTTAACTGGCCTCTCAACGTCCTATCAAAAATGTTATTGTCAAGCATTGCAAAAAAAGTGGATTATCTCCCCTTTGCCGCTCTCTTACAGTTACACAACTGTTTGTTAGTGCTCGCAAACATGAATTCATTTTAAAGCTCATTTTATTACTAAACTAAGCAAATTTTCCTCTCCGTGAAAGCTTTAGAAATTGCATTATCAGCTGTTTTGCCTCCACCGCTGGAATGTATAGCAATGATATCAGGATTAAGTACTCAATCCATACCACAGGTTAGCAAATCCGATAAATAATCTTCTATTTTTTTTTTAATAAAATAATACCAAAAAAAATTCCTGCAATTTTCAGATACTGCCTCATTGAAGAAAAATTATTATAATGGATACCAATTGCCGTCAGTGTTATGATAAATGATCCTGTAAGTAAAACAAATGAAACCCACAATGAAAAACTTTTAGATAAATAATTTATTACGAAAATTATGATGAATTTTACAATATTTCGGGGTCAAATCTCACACTATTGGGAGATTTTCACGTTTACTTAACAGAAATATCACATAATACATTTAAAGTGTAAGCGAAAAAATTAAATATGGGTATTAGAAAACTACCATATTTTATTACAATATGTTCTGTAAATAATTAACATCAATATGGCATATACTATTCGGTCCATATCACCGATAGATATATGATAATCATAGATATTAAATCAATTTGGTCCCTAATTTGATATAAAACAAAATACAACACAATAAAAGTACAATAATTTACACTAAAGTGTCTATCACAAACTGCCCTGACTAATACATATCAAAATAAAAGGCCCGTCATTGCTCAACAATAGAATACCGTACAACCGCTCCCAATTGACTTTAACACTTCCCAAATAAGGCTTTTTCACTCGGTAATCTGAGAAAAATATTAAAATTAATTTTATATAAATGTTGATATTTGTTTTAAATTTTGAAGTGATATTAGGGGGGAAATGTATCACCATTTAATTAGATGAGGTTGTCGACAAGGAATCGTAATTGCACCTTTTATTTTTATTCTCTGTGGTAACAGTTTGGTAATATAACTTAAAAACTATAGAAACAATAGGAAGTAAATATCGATGGTTCCAAACGCTCATTTAAAAAAAAACATTCAAATCTTAACAAAATCAGAAGTGAAGTCAAATATGTTGAGAAAACACATGTTGTATGAATAGACAACAAATAGTACAGTGATGAAATACTTCTACCAAAGTTTAACCTAAAGTGGGGGTAGTCAATTAACGCTCTGATGAATCGAGTTTCACCTATACCTTAGCAAAAGGTCAGGGCTTAAACACGACAAAAACTTATATTACACGCCAAGCTCTTATTAATGCTTGGAGCAGAAGAATTAGAAGAATAAGCATGCTAAAATACTTATGATATCTCAACTACATCTCTGTTTCATATAATTACCAAATCCTAACGGCAATTGTATTTTAATAACAAAATACATTAATTATTTTCTATAGAATAATACCAATGAAATAAAGAGATATGTTGTCATCAAACGTATATGTAAAGGGTGCTTAAAATGATAAATACAACACATGTATAGGATTTATAATTCAACAGGTAAATGTGTTCCAATACCAGAACACTGATTTAAACAAAAACTACTTAGCAAACAGTGGAAATCAGTAGTTGCAGATACCTATAAATAACTAAGATTTTAATTAAGATTTGTCTAGATGGGTGTGCTCAATAAATGGTACAAATTCAGAGGGGAAAGGAAAATCAACAGAGAAAGGGTGTTTCCATCCAAAATACACACCTATATGACATAACAAAGGTATACTAATTGAAGGTAAAAGTTCAGTAGCAGAACTGAGCCCGTATTCATGAACCTGTTCTCATGCTGCTCAAACATGGATTCTGTCCTCGGTGCTTAACGTCTCTCCTTTCATTTCCAAATTATTGACAAAATGTGTTTGATAGTAATTTATCTCAGGAAATAGAATATGGGCTTGAGCACAGAATCAGAGTTTGAGCATGAGAATGGTTTTGTGAATACGAGCCCTGGTATCATAACGGGATATTACCGTTTTATCAATTAGTATAGGAGTTCGACCTGATTTTACAGCTATAATGAATTTGTGGAAAGTTAAAGAAAAATACACAATATATCATAATATGTTACTCTCTATCTTATCTAATTATCCCTTCACATATGGAAATTATTTTTTAACAAGAAAAGACATCACAAAGTTTCTAGAAAATATTGGTTAAAAATAAATGTAACATACAAAAAAAATGAAACATATAATACAAAAATGGAATTAAATGTTCAATTACGATGAAGGTATTTGAAGAAAAAATACAATTTACTTTTTTGTGTGTCTATAAGTTCAATAGCTACAGTATAAATTTAAACATAATATTTTAACAACAAACTATTATGAAAATATAATTGGACATACAAAAATCCCAATTATATTTTCTGTAATGCAGAAACAGAATCAATCATAAATAATGTAATGTAATGAAGTTCAAAACTTTCTGAAATTTATAAATATTTTTGCATGCTCCAACTATAGCATTTTTGTTAATTAAGAAACAAATACTGTTTGGTATAGGAGGCTAAATAGGGACATCTTTTACAGAATAGGCAATTAATAGTTTTGATTCTGAATTTATACATATACAAAACAGGTGGATTTCATAATAGTCTTTTAATAGAAGCACTGGTAACCATGACTTAGGATTATTACGTTTAAAAGAAATAACTTCTCAACGCATTCACCCCTAAAATTTCATAATGAATTATTCCAGCCTTTTAATTGGAAAGCTCAAATGTGTCTTCAAGGGTGAATGAGCTGAGGTTAAGGGGAGCTATGGTCTCATTTACAAATGGATAGAAGAATGAGGAAAAGCTTGTTGAATCGACCTAAGTAAAACAATTATCTACAAGACTTGAATTACAACCACACACACTGGTTGTACCTTGAAAAAAATCTTACTACCGCTATCGATCCCCCTCCTTTGCCGATTGTTTAAAATTCTTCAGATGATATCCAACCTGTTATGTTCCTGCTTCAATAGCATTTCCAAATAAATGATTTTTTGTTCGTTTTTCTAAAACAGTAAAATGTTAATAAAATCAAAAAAGAATATATATATTTGAAAAGAACAAAGTGGCAAGACTTTATACAGAATGAGATCAAATTTCCTCTTTTTAAAATTCAAATATATAACAAAAATAATAATATTTTTTGTAGAAATGTTCTACATTCTTGGAACAGATATGCATGTATATTATAAATATTGTTGAATTAACTGACAATAAAATGACTTTGTGAATGTAAAGGACATATTTAATGAACTTTGTCAATTTCATTTCCATATGTAATAAAAGTAACAATAGACTTTTTCAATCAATAAAATTAATAATGTATAAATCAATCAGGATGACTAACAATAACGCCGCTATACTTGTTGCATTTACTCTGGAATACAGCAAAATTTATAATGATCAGGGCTTCCATTTGAACCTTGACATCCAATTTCAGAAGTTAAATAGAAATTTCCTTGAACTTTGGAGGGTCAAAACATGGCAAATATACCTGTCCTCTAAACCTCGTGAGTCAAAGCACATTTTGGCGAGTCAAAAACCCCGATAACAAGAAAAACCTAACGGCTGTCTGCTTATTTAAATGGAATGACATCATCACTAGTATAATTAAATTAAATAAGACCCATGATTTACTTACTTGCTCATTAATAGAAATATGCTAGCTGCTGTATTTATGAAGACAGGATGCTATTTCAGTCGGGGTTTTTTGTTAGTGTGTTCCTCTTGTAATTGATCACATTGCCCAAATCACGCTGTTTTCGTTCGTGTGGTACACATGCGCTGTACAAATAAAAACCAACTTTAAAAAAACTGTTAATATTTGAGTAACAAGGTGTCAACACAAGAATGTGTTGCATATTTCTGATATGCCTAATATTTAATTCAGTGCCTCACATACAGAACACGCATATAGTAAAAATGCTACGTGTATAAAGAAGCTGTATTGAATAGCATCACGAGTGTTTTGACTATGCATTCTTCCAAAATTATCACGCCCAGTAACATGGCAATCGTCATTGTACTTAATCTACAATTGTTACAATATGTTACAGTATGCAACAATATTGAAACAAATTAGAAAACAATACAAACATGGTCATATTTGATTCGAAATGGGAGAACTTGTATGGAAAATTTCACAAAACATGACACAGCCCTTAGTCCATATCCATATTGGGCTCAAACTATTTTAGTTATTTTGTGTTTGTTTCTTAAGTTTGAAATTTGTTTTTGAAGACAAGGCACATTTCAAATGGAAATTGAAAACACCATTAACAGGTATAAGTAAGCTTTATAACCGTTTGTAAATGGACAGTCTGTGGCAGATTCGTCCGTTTGAGGCTACGTGTTGCACGTTGAAATCTGGCATACTTTGAGAGAAAACCGCCGAGCAGAACACTGGAACTTGGTGAACTCCTCGGCTAGGGTCGTCAGTTCTACCTGTGCTATCGTCGATGGAATTTGCTCCGTCTGCTCAGACATTTTATTATATATTTCTTGCAATCTTTTACCTGGTAATTTGCCCTTCATCTGTTTCATGAATGATTCTTTAGTTGTCAGGAAGACGCTGTCTGTCAATGTTCCGTCTCTGTCGACATAACCCTCCTTTTTCAGTTCATTGAATTCTTTGACACCTACACTCTCCTCTGTTAACTTCTTCATACTTGAGACATTGTCCAGGTAACCGTCTTCTTTCTCTTTATCCATAAACGCATACACATACACGATTTCTGAAACCTCCCTAAACATTGATTTAAACTCGTCAATGGGCATGTCTTCCATAGCCCGTTTCAGCATGATTCTACAAATACCGTCATCTTTATATTCAAGAGCAAGTTTTCGATATTTCATGACGTTCGGTAGTGTGGAACTGGAGTCCATCAAATCGTGCCACAGAAGGTTTGCTGATACCCTAATCTGAGAGCATGCATCCCTGGTCATTTGTCCAAATCCTTTTTTGACGTGGTACAGGTACAGCTTGGCAGGTTCTTCAGCTTTGTAGTATAATACATCAAATAGTTCTGGAAGTCTTTTTCCTTGTACTCGATCACCTAGCATATAAAATGATCCATCGTCTTTTTCAGGAATGGATTGGTACGTTTCATTGTAATCGTCCTCTTCTATTTGTTTGCATGACGTTCTGAGATAGCAAAGGACTTCTTTACCTATAACTTCCGTTGTACATTTTGTAGTTTTTATGCCATTTGGTAAATGTTCAAAGATATGATTTGATAATTCTTCAGGCACATTAGGGCTAACAACCTCATTGGAAACGATGACTTTCCGTTCTTTTTGAAGAATCGCAACTATTTCCTTCTGTTTATTTTTCAGGACCCCCTTTTCCGTTTTTTCAATCGAGCATGATTCGATGCAATCGCCAAGTGGCTGTCCTTCTTTTGCTGATACCATCATTGCGTGCTCTAAACCAGACATCATACGTAAAACTGTATTAGGTTTGTGTAGTGGTTGACTCAGACATGTTTTAAGTTCTGCAAAGACACCGTTACGATTAGATTTGATAAATTTACAGTTAAGACCTCTTAGGCAGGACTTCTCGTCTTGATCCAGATACTTTACCTTTTTTTTCAACAAGGGAAAAAGTTGTTCACGTGTAATTTGGGATAGGAACTCAAATGTTGTGCTGATCTTCGGTAGAGATTGGGGTTTCCAAGGTAACGGAAGATACCCAGTTTCATCATGCTTGATGAGATGACTTTTGAGAAATATAGACATCCTGTTTGTCAACAGTCCATGATATTGAGCTGACAGCCAATACCATTTTCCTGCTACCTTGTGGTACTGTGTTTTGTCGCACATAGTCCTACCATGTAGAAATTGTTTTAGCTTCCCTTTCACCTTTGTTTTGTCTTTGGCTGTGAAGGCAATTTTAATCTGATCAAAAGGATGTTCCCAATTTTCACGCATTGCATCTAATGTTGGTGCTGATGTGAATCGCTCTATTGTGTTTTTACCATGCATAAGCTCGATTTCGGAGGAGTGAGCCCAATCATCAACCTTTCTGTGGCTCAGGTAAACTCGTTTATACTCATTCTGATTCTGTGCATCTTCCATCAGCTTGTCTTCCAGTTTCTTTATCTGAACAGGGTTCCCAATATATTCCGCGTGATCTAGTGCAGCAACTAGTATTGGATCAAAAGGAAAGAGAGATGGATTTGTATCTGCCTCAATAAACAGATTAAATACATGCGAGAACGTTTCTAGATCTAACGTCTTGTGTATTTGCAATTTCTTTAGCCCTAATGTCATTAAGACAGACTTGCCATTACAAATTATCTTCGCCAACTTTGTTCCCTCGCGTATCCGTGCAGTTAAGCCAGTGATAATCTTCTCGTAGTTCCCGCTTATTAAAAGCACGGCTTCTGGTGAAAATGTCAGTTGTTCTGAAATGGAGGGTCCTGCTATACAAACAGCCTTTTTAGATGTTATACAATTTCCATCCATGAAATGTTTTGCCATTGTCTTGTTGAATTTACTTTCCGTGTGTCCATTTAGAAGCGTATATGAGTGTCCGGAACACAAGCAGAACGCATGTGTCGGGTTGATATCTGTTGTGAAGTAGAACATGAGATCATTGTGTTTGATGTTAATTTCCGTTTCGACTGAGGGCAGTATTTTTGCAGAGGGTCCACATGTTTTTCTCCGATAGAGACGGATATGAAAGCCACCATATGCATCGCCTGCACCCGTCCATTTTAATGACAATTTGTTGTTGAAATTGTCTTTAATCACTTCGTTTACATTTTTAACCTTATAGTCTCTAAATGTAAACCACCTTAATTTGTAAAAACTCATGTCCAACTTTTCTTTTCCTTTACCAGTCTTTTCAACACCATCTGTAGGAGCTTCACCAGTGTCCGAACTCGCTGATCTATCTAATGTTGATCTCGTTGCAGACAGGCGTTTCGGCTCGGCATCGTTTTTCCGTTTTCGACGACCTGTAAAATATTATTTAACCTGCATCAGTTATATTGCAAAGGATATATCGGTAATCAACAAACTGTATTTTTGTTTTGTTATTTGAGCAGCACAAGCTACTTGGTTCATACAATATGTTTGTTACAGTATAACCTGCCTAAATCGGTCCCTGTCTAATCCGTATCACTGTCTTACCCGCTTTGATATGTGTTGTGCCATATATCGTCATAAAGCAAGGGAAGAACATTGTACATGTAGATGCGCTCTTGCGAGTGTGATTGCACAGGTATGTGTGTTTAAAGATTGTAAATGTTATCGTTTTACATTTTACACTGAAGGATGTTTGTGTGTATAAAAATCTTTCTTGTCAACGATTTTGTCACTAATATGATTTACACAAACCGAAACGTCTACGTCAGACAAGGATTGGTTTAGTTTAGTGTTACGTGACAATATTTGAATTATGTAACTTTCAAATCTTTACAGAATATATTTCGAGGTGTGCTTCTTTACGCAAAAAAAAATAATTATAAAAATTTAAATCCTCAGCCCGTCTTTACTTGAGGACAAACCCCGGAGAGTGAGCAAGCATTCAGAATGAAATTCATCTTGTACGAATATGTTCAGTTTTAGTTACAGTTTATATCTATTTATGTTTTTTGTTAAGATCTAAGTTTGTAACCAATACATAAATATGAGTTCCCTCATTGAGGCCCCGTGAGCATTTCCCCAGACCAAGGTTTGAGAGTTGATTTTAGTCAATTTGAGGGTGCTGAATAAAATGAGCTTGGGTGAACCTCGTTAAAATGTGGAATAACGAGGTCAAGGTCGAGGTGGATATAACCAGTCATGGTGTGTATCGTTCTAGAAACGTCTGTTTTTTTACATGGAACATTTGCAGTCAGATTCCCATAAAGTGCGCAAGAGTGTGATCAAATACTTCACTACCCATATCTGGTAGAAAGTGTGGTGTGTTTGTAACTCCGTGTATTTTCGGACAATATCTCGGACAATAGTCAACTCACTATGATTCGATTATGGCCGCAGAATAGTGACCGACGTTTACTAGCATACTTGGTCCACAGGTGAATACATGTAGCACGTGCATTTATAAAAACACTTATAAACTTGTAATTCGAGTTGCTCAGAACTTTGTTTCGTATAAGAGAAATTTAATTTTTATCAACATCACGAAATTCCTATCTATATATTTGTTTTCTTATTCAATATATTTTGATGCTATTTCCGGGTAGGTCTAAATGCTGTACGGGAGAAAGATTGGCGGTCAGTTGACCACAACAAGTTCAGTGTTGGTGTGTATTTACCTGGTAGTGTTATTGGTATTTGGAGGCCAAAGGGAAAAGGGCATTGATTGGTTCAAGGGTGCATCAGCCACCAATAAAAGCACTGGGAACACTGTTTATTCAGATATGTTTTGTCTGTATTGATTAAAGAAAAAGGGAGTATTGTCACGCACGCATATACATAGTTACGGACTTTGTAAGTATTGTGGTGTATGCCTGTATGTGTTGTCCTATGTACCTGTGATATTTAGTGGAGTGCTACCTCAGGGACGTCACGGAAGTACTACGTCACGACCGGGTAAGTGGGTTAGCGAGAGGAGACCATAACATGGGAAAAATGAAATGCACCCGTGATGAATACGGAGAGACTATATAAGAATATACCGTAATGGAATAAAAGCACAGATAGCTGACTGTGGTAAGTGTTTGCAACCCTTATTATCTATCTTATCTGTAGTTTATCTGCTGTTTTTATACACATTAACCTGAAGAAAACCGGTCTAGTGTCAACAACTCAGTGGCGGAGCACTCATGCGTAGCGAAGGTTACACGTGTTATGCATTCCATTTATAAACATGTACGCGTACTAATTTGTCATGTATTTGTTGTATGCACCTCAGATAGTGGTGTACATGTAACGTTGAGCCAATTTGAAGATATTAGCCATTGTATTTTTCATTATTTTCCACATGCATTGTGTTAGGTATGGAAGCCCATACATGTCAGGTTAGCTAATTTACATAGTGGTCCAGCACGATGAATTGTGCAGTTATTGGTAACATTTTATGTCCAACGCATTGTATCATACGTTTAGTTGTAATTTATGTCGATTTTGGAATAGAAAACTCAGTTTGTCAAATTTGTGGAAGTATGGGAGCCCATGAGTGCAAACGGATGTTTTCGTTATCTTGGTCAAATTACACGAACTTTTGGGATTCAATGGTGTTGCTGTCACAGTATTCCTCTTTTATCTTACCTTAGCTTTTACCTTGGGGCTATATGGTGGACCCATAGACAGACCGGCCGACACATGAACCAGATCTGGTCATTCCAGGACCAGATACATGTACGACACAGCGGCGGTACTTGGACCATCAAAGTCAGAGGTCAAGCGGTTTCCTCAACAGGAAATGGGCTGCTTTTAGTTTCACGAAGCAGGCCCACTACGACAGCCTATAATAAGGCTGGGTGTATCAACACGTGGTACATTTATGGACATTATCCTGCGGGATAGTATGGCGCGTGGTTCATAGCTGATTCGGAGTATTCGGAGAAACACGACAAGGAAGGAACACATACGCGTTCATGGCTGAGATTGTATGGACATTTTAACTCAGAGGAACACAGCGAGGAAGTGACAGAACATTTTAGGGTATTCCCAGTATTAGTGTATGTGTTAGCGTGTGTGTGTGTGTGTGTGTGAGCAAGATATTAAATCGTTTTGTATCATTTACTTATCGAGTGTAAATAAAGTTGTATATATATTTGTGTTAAACTGTGTATTGTTGTGTTGTCATTCCCGAGTAAGGCTATTCCGTTCGTTCCGTACTTAACAAGTATGACTATGTTTAAATTGAATATGAATATTTGTTTATCGTGCATGTCTATGAAGCTGGCACCATATACACAATATAATTATTAATATTTTGATTTGCTATTGAAACAGGCTGATGTTTTGTAGTGGCTGTTGTGAGCTCCAATATAAACAGAGTTTCCAAGTCAAGTTTGACCACGGCGTGTAACAAACATGCATTCCTTAGAAATGGTGATGTCTCTTGGGGTTTTGGGGCGTTGATGAAGTTGTGAATATTAAAATCACCTTTTGAACAATAAAACTTCTAAATAATGTTTAAATATAACATGAAATGACACATACATGTGGTTGCCTAGTCGATTTCGCTTTTCAAAATACGATTTTAACACTTTTTGATATCATGACCTGCAGGGTCATTCTATCATCCTGTTTTCAGGGGTCATGATCATGACCTGCTATTAGGTCATTGCAGGCAGCATTGTACATATTATAACAGTCCTTGATCCATATCCGCTCTCGTCTGTCTGTTATATCCATATTAAAAAGAAGAGAGAAAAGGGGTCATTTTTGGGCAATTACATACATGTGTATCATTTGTACAATGAAGTAATCAGAAAAATGGGTCCAAATTTGATTGACGTATTATGATCTTATGCACTAAAAGTGCTAATTGTCTTTCCCCTTCCTACCTCCATTTCTCAAAATAAATCGTCTTTATTCTCTCTTGCTACTAGTAATCTCCGCCTTTTCCAAAGCAGTAATTTTGAGGGACATAATAATATCATAACATCTGGTACACGTTGAGGGGATAAGATTTAATTCAGCAAACTGTCAGGGTTTACGAGATAGGATTAAACGCAGGGATATTTTCAACTATTTAAGAAGAAAAAAAATGATTATATATTGTCTTCAAGACACACACTTTACTAAAGAAAATGAGGAATTTATAAGAAATAAATGGGGTTACACATGTTATTTCAATTCATTTAAGTCAAATGCAAGAGAAGTTGCAATACTGATTAATAATAATTTTGAGGCCAAGGTTATTGAACAAAAAAAGGTAGAACTGGAAATTGTTTGGCATGAGATCTGAAATTGAGAGTACAAAGGTAATAATAATATCCATTTATATATGGTCCTAATATCGATGATTCAGCATTATATGATATAGCAACATCACATGAGTTTAAAAATGATAAGTGTATAATATATGGTGATTTTAATTTGGTACTTAATCCGGATTTAGATTATGATAAAACGTACAAAAAAGTTAATAATCCAAATTCCAGAGGGAAAATATTAAAATTATGGAGAATTTTGACTTAGTGGATATCTTTAGAGAGCAGCATTCTGATACTAGAAGGTATACATGGAGGTAAAGTAATCCAGTGAAGCAGGCTCTTTTAGATTTTTTTAGTGGCTGGAAGTCTTCTATCAAGTGTAAGTGAAACCGGTATAGAGCCTGGGTTTAGATCTGATAATTCTTTCCAAAAAAGTTATTTTTTAAATTTGACAGAATTCAAAAAGATAGAGGACTATGTAAATTCAATCACTCTTTATTACATGACCAGGAATTTGTTAATCTTATCAATAGCACAATAACGAACATTAAATTGATATACTGCCTTCCTGTATACCATTCTGAGAACGTAGAAATATCCGAAATTCCGGTATAGAGTTTGTTATACATGAGCAATTATTTTTAGAAACTCTTTTAATGGAAATAAGAGGGAAAACTATTTCGCATTCGTCGTATAAAAAGAAACAACAACATCAAAGGGAGGTAAGTATTATGGAAACGACAGGGATCTTGAAAACCATAGTGATGTAAATATAGAGGACTTACAGGTAAGGAAAAAAGAATTAAAGGATATAAGAATGCATTAGACTGAGGGAAGTATCATTCGCTATAAGGCATAGTGTATTGAGGAGGGAGAAAAACCCACAAATAACTTTTTTAATCTAGAAATAGAAATTTTTCTTCAACCATTATTCCAAAAGTACAGCTGGCTAATGGAGAAATTATTACAAAACGAAATGATATTCTAAGGGAATTCAACGTATTTTATGAGTTATATAGTATATTCACGTGGTCGATGAAATAAGCTTTCATAAACTATGAAATAAAAAAAATTCGGAAACTTTGTTGTTAAGTCTATTAATTACGGTTTAAGAAATAAACAATTATCTGTGACACAGGGACAGGGTATTATCACATGTTTACCTAAATGTGATAAACCCAGACATTTTCTTAAAAATTGGCGACCTATTTCACTTCTGAACATTTTCTATAAGATGGCGTCAGGCTCTATAGCAATAGAATGAAATCAGTTTTAAACAAAATTATTATTCGGACCAGACAGGATTTCTTGCAAGACGGTATTTAGGTGAAAATATAAAAATAATTTATGACAGTATGCAATTTACAGAAGAATTTGATATCCAAGGAATGTTTTGGATGATTGACTTTGAAAAAAGCCTTTGATTCGGTTTCGTAGAAATGTATTGATGAAGTTCTTGAAATTTGTAAATTTAGAAGTTACTTAAGAAATTGGATAAACAAAATTCATAAAAGTACTTGTTCTGCAATTAATCAAGGTGGAAATGTGTCGTCAAGGTGACCCGATCGCACCATGTACATATACTTTGTGCAGAGATTTTGGGAATAGGAATTATAAACAATAACAGTATAAAAGATATTGATGTTGATAATTGTCCAATCTTACTTTCACAGTATGCTGATGATACTTCCCTTATATTAGATGATACAGAATGCTCTCTCAAAGAGTCCATCAAGGAAGTCCACATTTATGAAAAAAATCGGGTGTTAAAGCCAACATTGAAAAAACTCAAATTATATGGATAGGTAGTAAAAGGAATAGTGAGGATATATTTCTACCTTCTCTGAACTTAAATAGGGGAAGGGGGGGGGGGGGCAGACATTTTACTCTTCTGGGGATTGAATTTCATGTGGATTTATATAAAATAACAAAACTCAATTACGACCAGAAACTTGTTAAACTCAAAGCTCTTGTCAAGAGTTGGAGTCACAGACTACTAATTCCTATTTCCTATTGGAAGAATTAGTATAATTAAATCATTACTGATCTCCCAATATTATCACCTGTTCATATCATTACCTAATCCGTGTATTTTATTAAACAACTAAATTCAGTTCTTTTTAACTTTTTATGGAAGGATATTCAGATCATTTAGGATATGGTTATATATCTTAAGTAAGAAGGTAGATGTTCAGGTTTTATCTTATCGTGGAAATGAATATGTTTGTATAGCAAAAACTAAATGTGAAAACGACTTCTGAGTCGATGTGTTCGTAGCTTGGTATAAATTTAGAGAAAAGGAAGAATATCTAAGAGAGGATTACGATGCAATACTCAAAACTCCATTATGGTTTAAAAATAATATCACTGTGTATATATCAGTGTGTATACTGAATGATCTATTTAAAGATAGGAGAAGTTTATATTCTTACACTTTTGCTGAATTCTGTGATTTATTTGGTCTATTTACAAATTATCATGGGGTAATATTGAGTCTTAAGAAATACCTAAGACGTTTTAACTCTCAAAATAAGATGTTGATCTTCCCAATTATTTCCCTTGATTTAGAATTGATTTTAAAGCGTGAAAAGGGGTCAAAAGTCTGTGATGGCTCTAGTTAAATTGATAAAGTTGTTCGAAAGTATATTGCATATGGTAAAGGTGAATTCTGATTGCAAAATATTGTAAACGAATGGACAAAATGGATAAAACTGGTTGAAATTGCCTGAAACCTGTCATAAACTGAATGACCATATTTTTAAGATGTACTTAGTAATATATGTTCAATTGCCTTCCACAATATACTGATTTTCTACTGTTTCTTTACATCTGCTGGTTTTTTGTCTCTCCACCTGTCTTTCTCTGTTACTTTCTTTTTTTTTCTCTCTGTGTCAGTGCTTCCTTTTCTTTTGTCTTTTTGTTTTTCATTTTTCTCATTTTGTCTCTTTTTACCAATGCAATAGAAATCTATATATATACCATGTATATCAAATACCAAAAGGTTGCATCATCTTACTTATGATACATATCAAGCTTAATTATTAATATACATACATTTGTTTTGGTATGAAAGATGTGTGATTGAATCAAATGTAAACAAATACAAAAAGAAGAGAATGTGGCCTAACTCGGCCCGACGCGAAAATTAAAAATGGCCGCCACCCGGGAAGAATAATGCAATTCCTGAAGTGTAAGTGTATTATCGTATCCTTTTGATTTCCTAACGTGTTGGTGTAATATCTTATCCTAGTTGTTAACTAACGTGTTGGTGTAATATCTTATCCTAGTGGTTAACTAACGTGTAAGTGTATTATCTTATCCTAGTGGTTAACTAACGTTTTAGTGTATTATCTTATCCTAGTGGTTAACTAACGTGTTGGTGTAATATCTTATCCTAATTGCTAACTAACGTGTTATTGTTATATCTTATCCTAGTGATTACCTAACGTGTTGGTGTAATATCTTATCCTAGTGGTTAACTAACGTGTTGGTGTAATATCTTATCCTAGTGATTAACTAACGTGTTGGTGTAATATCTTATCCTAGTTGTTAACTAACGTGTTGGTGTATTATCTTAACCTAGTGATTACCTAACATGTTGGTGCATTATCTTATCCTGGTGTTTTCCTAACATGTTTGTGCATTATCTTATCCTGGCGTTTCACTAACGTGTTTGGTGTATAATATCATCCTGGTCATTTCCTAACGTGTTTGGTGTACAATCTTAGTCTGGTGATTTCCTAATGTGATTGGTGTATTATCTTATCCTGGTTATTTTCTAACTTTTTTTTTTTTTTTTTTTTTTTTTTTCAAAATTTTTTTTTTTTTTTTTTTTTTTTTATTTCAACAGATTTGTATTGATTTTATATATGTCAATTGGATTGGACATCAGGTTAGGCCTATTTAAGTCCTTTCCAAACTTATTTACAAACATTACTTATATTCTGTCATAACAATCCAATTAAACAGTGCAGGGGATATAACTCCAATTTAGCTTTTGAAATGAACATTTTTCAACTTTTATTTAATGACTTTCTGTTTATGTTTTTGATATCAACAATTAAATAAATCATATATATTTGTTTTGACAACCCATCCTACATAAAATCCAAGGGATACAGGCCAAAAATCGCTGTGTATAAACACATTGGCCATCCACCCACTGGATATAAAGAATAAGTTACCAAGAAATAAACATCTTGTAAAATTTCAGAATATGATATGGATTCAAATAGGAAAATATTGTTATTATTATCTATTATTGGAGTTGATTCTCTTAAAATTTATTTAACAAAGCACTATAGAATATTCATGTAACTATGAAATAGTAAGAACAGGTTATAGGATAATACACTCATAAATTCCATCCAGTCCAGCCGAATACCAGAGATGTTGTGAAGAAAGATATACAAAATGTATATACACCAGTATCAATACTTATTAGCAGGGTGATCATGACACTATAAATAATAGCATCACTTTCAATGTAAAGTTTAGCTGTGAGTGAGATTACATATCAAGTCTATTAGTTTGACAACTATAGTGAGATATACGTTGTAAAATGGATATGTTGATATCAGTGCTGCATATTGTGCACCCATTTAATAGAGGTTTTAGATTAAAATGATCATGATTATCAGTTATACCAAATTGAGAAATTTGTAATACTAATTGCATTCTAATGTTGTTATAGAGTGGACATTCAAATATAAAATGAAATGCATTTTCATTTTCATGTCCACATCTACATGCTGGTGTGTCATTCAGATGATCCATATATAAGTCACTATTTAGGTTGCTACATGTAGCATGATTTCTAAGCTGACAGAGTATGATATTAATTGTTCTTGGCCCATAGTATTTAAATGTGCTTGCAATTTCTTTAGTGTTGTTCATATTATCAGGCTTGATGCAATTTTTAAATTGTTGAAGGGAAGTAGCGTTTAAAGTTTCTGCAGATAAAAGGTTAAATTCTCTACAAATTGATGGAAAATAACTAATGAAATAATTCTCAGTTCTACAGAAAGGGGGATTGAAATTAAGGCTTTTCTTAGTGGGTATCTTACATTTATATTGCTGTGAAGGTATGGTTCAATGAATTATTTAAAATGTTGAACATAAGTACTAATTTATTATTTTTTCACCTACAACAAAGTGATTCAAGTCCAGTTTCAGCATAAAGCTTACAATTAGAAGTCCCTCTACGCAATCCTGTAATAATTGTTAATGCCTCTAGCCGGATTGACTCAGGAATATTTTATTTTGCTTACTACAGTTATCCCATACTACATCCCCATATTCAAGTATTGGTCTAATAAAAGCGGTATATATTGTTGTAAGACTTTTTCTATCCAATTTGTGTTTAACATTCTCCATATATTCATTCTTCTATAAGCTAGCTTATAAATATTGTCAATATGATATGTACATTTTCCATCACTACTAAAAGTTAAACCAAGATGCTTATGAGTTTGTTTATTAATTACAGTTTCATTACCAAATACGATATCTGGATGATTTTGCTCCCTTTTCCTCGAGAAGATTACAGATTTAGTTTTGAGTGAATTAAATTTGATATCCCATTTTTTTTGCCCATGCATTAATATAACCTAGATCATTAGTTAATTTCACTGAAATTTCATTTTGATTGTTGTTTATTACTTCATAGAGAGAAGTATCATCTGCAAAAAGTTTTATTTTACTTGTAACACACTCTGTTATATCATTAATATAGATTAGGAAAAGAAATGGACCAGGGACCGAGCCTTGGGGTACACCGGCTTTGACATGCTTATAAGTTGAATAAAAACCATCTGTTGATACTTTCTGCTTTCTATCAGAAAGATAAATACTAAACCATTGTAATATTTTCCCTTTTATGCCATACGATACCAATTTAAAAAGTAAACCATCATGCCAAACACTATTAAACGCCTTTTTTACATCACAAAATACAAATCTAATTTCATTATTTTGATCCAAGTTTTTTACAATAGTGTCATATATAGAAAATAACTGGTTTACAGTCGAGTCTCTTGGTAAGAAGCCTGATTGGTGTTTCGTTATGATATCACATTCTATCATATAATTAAACATATATTTAAAAATAACTTTTTCAACAATTTTGGTAAAACATGATGTAATAGATATTGGCCTAGAGTTAGAGACATCATTTTGAGCACCCTTACCTTTGTATATTGCATTAATATGAGCTGTTTTCCAAGAAAGAGGTATAATACCAGATTCAATAGTCTTATTACAAAGTAAAGTTATAGGACGTATTAGAGAAGGTGCTAATTTCTTTATTATCTTGGGTATCATGCCATCTGGGCCAGGAGTTTTTTTATCATTAAGTAAACACAGTTGATCTTTAATGTCCCCTTCAGATATCATAATATTGTCTAGAAGGAAGGACAAGTATTTACATGGGGGTAAGGGGTTCAAGATTTTCAGAAGAAGTTGATATTGAGCTGAAGTAGTTATTTTGACATTCTGCTTTTTCAGTGGATGATGTGTTAAGTTATTATTTTCAGAAAAAAGGAGGAAGACAATTTGATACATTATTTGAATTCATGACAGATCTAGCAATTTTCCACCATTGATTAGGAGGCACAGATGATTGGTCACTAAGTTATTTCATTACTGGTTGGTGCATTATCTTATCCTGGTCATTTCCTAACGTGTTTGGTGTCTAATCTTATCCTTGTGATTTCCTAACTTGTTTGGTGTCTAATCTTATCCTGGTGATTTCCTAGCGTGTTTGGTGTATTATCTTATCCTGGTCATTTCCTAACGTGGTTGGTGTATAATCTTATCCTAGTGATTACCTAACGTGTTTGGTGTATAATCTTATCCTGGTGTTTTCCTAATGTTTTTGGCGTATAATCGGATCCTGGTGTTTTCCTAACGTGTTAGGTGTATAATCTTATCATGATGATTTCCTAACGTGTTTGGTGCATTATCTTATCCTGGTCATTTCCTAACGTGTTTGGTGTCTAATCTTATCCTTGTGATTTCCTAACGTGTTTGGTATATAATCTTACCCTTATCCTGGGGATTTTTTTTTTAATTGTCTTTGTTTGTGCTGACTTTTTCTTAGATTGTTGACACTGTTGTATGCTTATGTTTTGTTGGTATATATTAAAAGCATAACTGTTATCAGTGGACATATTACCTACCTTTTGATATCGATGGTTCACTAACGTCGTTTTCGTCGTTATCTGAATCATTGTCGTCCTCCTCCTCCTCTTCCTCCTCCTGCTCCTCCTTCTCATCGTCATCATCATGAGTCGACATAGATGACTCTTCGTCATTTACGTTTACGTCTTTTTCCATTTTTGCAGGATAGTCTGTTAAGAGATAAATTATTGTTTACTACAAATAAACGACACAATTTACTAGGCGCACCCAGATACCCTTACGATTGAACACAGATATACCCAAATAATTAACGACCTTAGCTGATAAAAAATAACCGTGACCTGCCTTATTACTGGTTAAAATCCTCTATCTGCCTTTGTTTCCTAGACTACTGTTGTAAACAGAGAGCCATCACATGGTTCACTGTCAAAAGGAAGGAACTAATAACAAAGATGGGATTTCTCTAGCTTGATCTGCTGACGACTACGCCTGTATAGAAACCCAACAAAAAGTATTTACCTCTCAATTACAAAATGGAAAGGTACTCAGAGAATTTTTTTTTAAGTGATACGCTAATCAAAGTATGTTCTCGCTTCTATGAAGAAACATTATATATGTTTTTGGCACCTGGACATATTTTCATACCATAGTTAAACACCAATAAATACCAATCATACTGGGTTTTTTAAACTTATAATACAGGTGTCCAGTGGGATTGAACGTATATTTCTACTTTTGTAGAACGTATTTCAACATTCATTGTGCTCAAAGCCCTGGTTGTATGACACGAGAGATATGTTGATAGGCACCCAATTTCCTTTGTGTGAGCTAATGTATCACAAGTAAAAGTAAATCTGTGAGTCACACTTTCATGTAATGTATTTTCACACATATCCTGAGCCCCTAATCTTTTTACATTCACATTTTAAAAAATGTGTATTTTAGATTTGTTAAGAGGATAATTTTAAAACAAATACAAGGGGTACTGGCATCCTTATCAATAAGATGTTTTACTGAATTTTGTGCGTAACCCCGACACCATCAACAATACAGTTAAGCTATTATTTTAATTTGATATAATTATCCAAGATAGATACATGTTTGGTGTTTTAACCTTATTAAATGCTACGGATCTAATGTAGCAAATAACCAACTTAGCAAATATAAATGTATCTTTCTTTTAATTTCATTTTATTGACATTAGCTTTAATGATTGCTCATGAGATGGCTTCTTTGTTTATTCTAAAGCTTATCAATAATACAACTCCTTTGGTCTACATATGTTGGATTAGAAATTGGTCGACATAATTGTGAGTCACTTTCTACTACATGTACCAAAACAAGAAAATGTGATAAGAAAGTTTTTGGCTGTGGCATGAGGATCCTGAAGGGGGACAAACATACGCCATTGTGTAAAATTGCAATTTTTACAGCTGTGAAAATCAAGAGCAAGGAGTACCGTAACCCACATTTTATTTGTACTCATTGGTTTCATTTGTGAACAAACAATATTTAAACACATATCTATATCTGTTCTTCAAAAAAATGTTTCTCGGGTTTTTTAAGAAAAAAAGTGTGGTATTCTGATTGTTTATGGTTACATCACTCCAACTTTTATTACACGATAAAATTTTACAAAATATATATTATTTATGTCTAGGATATATAAGGAGTTATATACTTGACGAGATATTTCCGAAACACATTTTAATATCGCCAAAAATCCTTTCTGAATACGTGGAGATGAAATTTTCATCGGGTTTCGGAGATTTCCGAAAGCTAGCCAGACCGCGTGTCTTCATACTTTGTATTGAATAATCTGGCCTTAATATGTTATTAAATGGGTATCGTATTGCTACTGGAGAGAACACGGTTCACCAGCAGATTCGGCGAAAAACGCCATGATTTAACAGACTTCAATCCGAATGTTGTTTACATCTCGCCATGTTGAATTTGAAAATCCTGTGATATCACTCTGCGAGTCCAAAATATTTGCGCAACATTGGTAAAACTGATTTTTTTTGTCTTGAAATGATAATGTTTTATCAAAAACAATAATATTATAAAAATATGTGACATTGTACTTTAAAGCTATGACAAGAGGCCCAGATGGCCTGCATCGCTTACCTAAAGATGTTAGCAAAATTGAAGTTGAAATAGCCAGATGTTGCTGGTAATATAATACATGGTTAGTCTGGAGTTATATTTATATGCAATTGGACAAAATTATGTCATTCCTACAGAAGAGGAAGGATTTTGAAGAATTCGCTTTGATTCCCCTATTGGGCCCCGCCCCTCTGTCTACAAGGGGTCAGACTCACCATTTATACAAAATTAATTTCCCTTCCCCATAGGATGCTACTGTTCAAATTGGGTCAAAAATACCTTCATTCCAACGGAAGAGGATGGATATTTAAGCTATTCCTCTATATCCCTATTTGGCCTCGCCTCTCTGCCCCAAGAGGGGTCAGACCCACCATTTATAAAAAATTGGTTCCCCTTTTTCCAAGGGTGCTTCATACTAAATTTGGACAAAACCCTGTCATTCCCACAGAAGAAGAGGGATTTTGAAGAATTTACTATGTTCACCATATTGGGCCCCACCCTTCTGCCCCCAGGGGGTCAGAACAACCGTTTATACAACATTAAGTCCCCTTCACCCAAGGATGCTTCAGACAAAATATGGACAAAATCCTGCCATTCCTACAGAAGAAAAAGAATTTTAAATAATTTGTCAGACCCACTATTTAATCAAGTTGTTTCCACTTCACCCAAGGGTGCTTCATACTAAATTTGGACATGTCCTTTCTACAAAAGAAGAACGATTTTGAAGAATTTGCTATGTTTCCCCTATTTGGCCCTGTCCCTCTACCCCCAGAGGTTTTTTGCTAAAGGATGCTCCAAATCAAATTGGGATAAAATCCCTTAATGCCTATGGTAGAAGAAGAATTTTAAAGGTTTTAAAATCCCTTAGAAAGAAGAAGGATTTTTAAGGTTTTACCTCAATTTTCCCTATTGGGCCCCGCTTCTCTGCCCCCAGGGGGCCATATCTATCGTTTATACAAAATTGATTCCCCTTGGCCTAAGGTTGATCCAGGCTAAATTAGGATAAAGTCCCTTAACTCCTTCCATAGAAGAAAGATTTTAATGGTTTTAACTCATTTTCCTTATTCGGCCCCACCCCTCTGACCCCACGGGAGCCACACCCACCGTTTATACAAATTTGAGTAGTCTTGGCTCAGGGAAGCTCCAGGCCAAATAAGGATAAAATCCCTTAATCCCCTTAATCCCAACGGACAAAGTGCGATTTGAATAGCCCACCACCTTCTTTTTCTTTCTTTCCTCTTATTTGCTCCTGATAATGTATTGACAGAAGTAATCATATGGTAACATTAATAAACAAAACAAAACTTTCATATGAAATATTGTCAAACCCTGTGCAGATGATTTTTATTCCATAGTTAACCCTAGCCTTCCTACATCTATAGCTCTACTGCAATTGCGAGAGGTTGCGTGTAAGTCAAAAAGTCAGTAGTTCATGTTCATGTAAATGAAAAATAGTTCAACTGATATATTTTAAAATTATTAACGGTATACTGTTAAACATCATGATAATTAGTAACAGTATGTCATTCCTGTTACAAATGCAACGCAAACACACATACCCAATGCCCTTCTCAGGCCTTGTTAGCATGACAACACCATTATGGATGACCTTTAGCTGTTACACATTCATTAAAGCTTACTTAGGTGTGCAATTACAAAGCTTTATCAAGCCTCAGGTCAATTGTCTTTTTTTAAATGTTGCAATAAAATAACAAATGATATATCAGGGCTAGGGAAATGTACTCGTCTACCTGATGAGTGGATTTGGCCACAGGACGAGTGAATTTCATAAGATCTGTTGTCAGTTGGATGATTAACAAGAGTCGTCAGAAGACAACAATGCTCGCCGAGTGGCTTGAAATTCAGAATTAGTTTTTTTAAAGTAGGTCAAAGGTCACGGTCAAGGTCCGCAGGTCCGCAAATGTAGTACCAAAACAAAGGTCTTGTGAAAAAGAACACATGTGTCAAATATAAAAGCCCTATCTTGTACGGTTAATATTCGGTAGCCAAGTTAAGCTTTTTTTAAAGAAGGCCAAAGGTCACAAAGGTCAACTTTAACCTAGCTGTCTATTGCCGCCGCCGACGCCGGGGGTACCCCTGGACTTCGTGCCGACGGGCTAACAAGTCGATAAACAGGTCTGACAGTGTTATGGACAATTTTACTTGCATTTTCAATTGTTTCTGAGAAATTGGCTTTTGATTAGGGCTACCGAGAAAATGGCTTTCGAAAGCAGGTTCTGAGTTGCACACATTCTGGGAAAATCCCCAATTTTCGTTTCTTACTGCACATTGCGCTGATATCACATCACTATACAATATCCAAGGTCTTCCTGATTGGGTAAACAAAAGGTTAGGAGGATATCGAAATTGAAAACAACAATGGAACAGTGAAAACTGAATCTGATCTTTTCGTCAGGGACTAATTCCTGTGGTAACTCTATCTAAATTAGAGATTTATAACGATAGAGTTCCTGCACAGCTCCTATATAGAGATGTATGAAATGGAGGACGGTAAGTGTTCAAAGTACTCACGTGATTTATAGTGATTAAACATTGATAACGCCAACGAAACTTGTAAATCCCAATAGATAAATGCTTCTGCTATACGATCCAACTAAAACAACTGATATAAATGCATTGCACATCATCGCAATAGTTCTTAATTCCAACGTACCCAAATCTCACTTCGAAACGTCTGACATCACTGTTTACAACACCGCGCATGCGCAGAGGAGCAGCAAAAGGTGTTTGCGTTAAGTCCAGAGGCCACCAAAGGGAAATCAGTTAATCGTTCTGTTCGTTACAGAGAAAGTTTAAAAATAGCCAAAAAAGAAACAAACACAAAATACACAAAAGTGTTTTTAATGTTATATTTTATTGGGTAAATGTATTTTTCTTTCTCCTGGAACAGCTTCAAAATTGAACTGTCACAGTTTTTTTGTTATACATGTAATAATTCAAATATTTTTTAGCTGGAATAAAACATAAATCTTTATAATAATATTTTTTTGGGGATCAAAACTAAGTTGTATTGGGGTTTTTTAATCAATGATTACTCTCTTTTAAACGCAGTTCACTAAAGCATCCGGAGGTAATTTTCTGTCAGCTATCAGTCATTTCCTTTGTGTTTATTTATATTTTGTTTTGTATTTTGGATGCTATTTGAAACAGGGATTGAATTATAAAATTTGTCATCGTTTTATATATAATGAACAACCAATAGCAATATTATCTCTTATTTACCATTTTAATGTGATAAAAAAAAATCAGGAACAGTTATTGATTCACTATTCCATATTTACAGAAAACAAAAATTAATTAATTCTCCCTATGGCATATCTGATATCTTTAAGATATAATCCACTATGATACAAAATCAATCATATATATATACAAGGAAAATCGAAATGTAAAAATGCACAAAAAACAATTGTATCAGGAAAGTTGGAATTTCTTCGGACGTAATAAATAGGGGGCCACATCTACCGTTTGAATAAAATTGATTCCCCTTGGCCTAAGGTTGATCCAGGCTAAATTAGGATAAAATCCCTTAATTCCATCCATAGAAGAAGGATTTTAAAGGTTTTACCTCATTTTCCTTATTCGGCCCCATCCCTCTGACCCCACGGGAGCCACACCCACCGTTTATACAAAATTGAGTCGTCTTGGCTCAAGGATGCTCTAGGCTAAATTAGGATAAAATCCCTTATTCCCAATGGACATAGGGCGATTTGAATAGCCCACCACCTTCTTTTTCTTTCTTTCCTCTTATTTGCTCCTGATAATGTATTGACAGAAGTAATCATATGGTAACATTAATAAACAAAACAAAACTTTCATATGAAATATTGTCAAACCCTGTGCAGATGATTTTTATTCCATAGTTAACCCTAGGCTTCCTACATGTATAGCTCTACTGCAATTACGAGAGGTTGCGTGTAAGTCAAAAAGTCAGTAGTTCATGTTTATGTAAATGAAAAATAGTTCAACTGTTATATTTTAAAATTATTAACGGTATACTGTTAAACATCATGATAATTAGTAACAGTATATCATTCCTGTTACAAATGCAACGCAAACACACATACCCAATGCCCTTCTCAGGCCGTGTAAGCATGACAATACCATTATGGATGACCTGTAGCTGTTACACATTCATTAAAGCTTACTTAGGTGTGCAATTACAAAGCTTTATCAAGCCTCAAGTCAATAGTCATTTTTTAAATATTGCAATAAAATAACAAATGATATATCAGGGCTAGGGAAATGTACTCGTCTACCTGACGAGTGGATTTGGCCACAGGATGAGTGAATTTCATAAGATCTGTTGTCAGTTGGATGATTAACAAGAGTCGTCAGAAGACAACAAAGCTCGCCGAGTGGGTTGAAAATCAGAATTAGTTTTTTAAAGTAGGTCAAAGGTCACGGTCAAGGTCCGCAGGTCCGCAAATGTAGTACCAAAACAAAGGTCTTGTGACAAAGAACACATGTGTCAAATATAAAAGCCCTATCTCGTACGGTTAATATACGGTAGCCAAGTTAAGCTTTTTTTAAAGAAAGCCAAAGGTCACAAAGGTCAACTTTAACCTAGCTGTCTATTGCCGCCGCCGACGCCGGGGGTACCCCTGGACTTCGTGCCGACGGGCTAACAAGTCGATAAACAGGTCTGACAGTGTTATGGACAATTTTACTTGCATTTTCAATTGTTTCTGAGAAATTGGCTTTTGATTAGGGCTACCGAGAAAATGGCTTTCGAAAGCAGGTTCTGAGTTGCACACATTCTGGGAAAATCCCCAATTTTCGTTTCTTACTGCACAATGCGCTGATGTCACATCACTATACAACATCCAAGGTCTTCCTGATTGGGTAAACAAAAGGTTAGGAGGATATCGAAATTGAAAACAACAATGGAACAGTGAAAACTGAATCTGATCTTTTCGTCAGGGACTAATTCCTGTGGTAACTCTATCTAAATTAGAGATTTATAACGATAGAGTTCCTGCACAGCTCCTATATAGAGATGTATGAAATGGAGGACGGTAAGTGTTCAAAGTACTCACGTGATTTATAGTGATTAAACATTGATAACGCCAACGAAACTTGTAAATCCCAATAGATAAATGCTTCTGCTATACGATCCAACTAAAACAACTGATATAAATGCATTGCACATCATCGCAATAGTTCTTAATTCCAACGTACCCAAATCTCACTTCTAAACGTCTGACATCCCTGTTTACAACACCGCGCACGCGCAGAGGAGCAGCAAAAGGTGTTTTGCGTTAAGTCCAGAGGCCACCAAAGGGAAATCAGTTAATCGTTCTGTTCGTTACAGAGAAAGTTTAAAAATAGCCAAAAAAGAAACAAACACAAAATACACAAAAGTGTTTTTAATGTTATATTTTATTGGGTAAATGTATTTTTCTTTCTCCTGGAACAGCTTCAAAATTGAACTGTCACAGTTTTTTTGTTATACATGTAATAATTCAAATATTTTTTAGCTGGAATAAAACATAAATCTTTATAATAATATTTTTTTGGGGATCAAAACTAAGTTGTATTGGGGTTTTTTAATCAATGATTACTCTCTTTTAAACGCAGTTCACTAAAGCATCCGGAGGTAATTTTCTGTCAGCTATCAGTCATTTCCTTTGTGTTTATTTATATTTTGTTTTGTATTTTGGATGCTATTTGAAACAGGGATTGAATTATAAAATTTGTCATCGTTTTATATATAATGAACAACCAATAGCAATATTATCTCTTATTTACCATTTTAATGTGATAAAAAAAAATCAGGAACAGTTATTGATTCACTATTCCATATTTACAGAAAACAAAAATTAATTAATTCTCCCTATGGCATATCTGATATCTTTAAGATATAATCCACTATGATACAAAATCAATCATATATATATACAAGGAAAATCGAAATGTAAAAATGCACAAAAAACAATTGTATCAGGAAAGTTGGAATTTCTTCGGACGTAATAAATAGGGGGCCACATCTACCGTTTGAATAAAATTGATTCCCCTTGGCCTAAGGTTGATCCAGGCTAAATTAGGATAAAATCCCTTAATTCCATCCATAGAAGAAGGATTTTAAAGGTTTTACCTCATTTTCCTTATTCGGCCCCATCCCTCTGACCCCACGGGAGCCACACCCACCGTTTATACAAAATTGAGTCGTCTTGGCTCAAGGATGCTCTAGGCTAAATTAGGATAAAATCCCTTATTCCCAATGGACATAGGGCGATTTGAATAGCCCACCACCTTCTTTTTCTTTCTTTCCTCTTATTTGCTCCTGATAATGTATTGACAGAAGTAATCATATGGTAACATTAATAAACAAAACAAAACTTTCATATGAAATATTGTCAAACCCTGTGCAGATGATTTTTATTCCATAGTTAACCCTAGGCTTCCTACATGTATAGCTCTACTGCAATTACGAGAGGTTGCGTGTAAGTCAAAAAGTCAGTAGTTCATGTTTATGTAAATGAAAAATAGTTCAACTGTTATATTTTAAAATTATTAACGGTATACTGTTAAACATCATGATAATTAGTAACAGTATATCATTCCTGTTACAAATGCAACGCAAACACACATACCCAATGCCCTTCTCAGGCCGTGTAAGCATGACAATACCATTATGGATGACCTGTAGCTGTTACACATTCAGCTTACTTAGGTGTGCAATTACAAAGCTTTATCAAGCCTCAAGTCAATAGTCATTTTTTAAATATTGCAATAAAATAACAAATGATATATCAGGGCTAGGGAAATATACTCGTCTACCTGACGAGTGGATTTGGCCACAGGATGAGTGAATTTCATAAGATCTGTTGTCAGTTGGATGATTAACAAGAGTCGTCAGAAGACAACAATGCTCGCCGAGTGGGTTGAAATTCAGAATTAGTTTTTTAAAAGTAGGTCAAAGGTCACGGTCAAGGTCCGCAGGTCCGCAAATGTAGTACCAAAACAAAGGTCTTGTGACAAAGAACACATATGTCAAATATAATAGCCCTATCTCGTACGGTTAATATACCGTGGCCAAGTTTAGTTTTTTTTTTAAAGAAGGCCAAAGGTCACAAAGGTCAACTTTAACCTAGCTGTCTATGGCCGCCGCCGACGCCGGGGGTACCCCTGGACTTCGTGCCGACGGGCTAACAAGTCGATGAACAGGTCTGACAGTGTTATGGACAATTTTACTTTCATTTTCAATTGTTTCTGAGAAATTGGCTTTTGATTAGGGCTACCGAGAAACTGGCTTTCGAAAGCAGGTTCTGAGTTTCACACATTCTGGGAAATTCTCGTTTTCGTTTCTTACTGCACAATGCGCTGATGTCACATCACTATACAACATCCAAGGTCTTCCTGATTGAGTAAACAAAAGGTTAGGAGGATATCGAAATTGAAAACAACAATGGAACAGTGAAAACTGAATCTGATCTTTTCGTCAGGGACTAATTCCTGTAGTAACTCTATCTAAATTAGAGATTTATAACGATAGAGTTCCTGCACAGCTCCTATATAGAGATGTATGAAATGGAGGACGGTAAGTGTTCAAAGTACTCACGTGATTTATAGTGATTAAACAATGATAACGCCAACGAAACTTGTAAATCCCAATAGATAAATGCTTCCGCTATACGATCCAACTAAAACAACTGATATAAATGCATTGCACATCATCGCAATAGTTCTTAATTCCAACGTACCCAAATCTCACTTCGAAACGTCTGACATCACTGTTTACAACACCGCGCATGCGCAGAGGAGCAGCAAAAGGTGTTTGCGTTAAGTCCAGAGGCCACCAAAGGGAAATCAGTTAATCGTTCTGTTCGTTACAGAGAAAGTTTAAAAATAGCCAAAAAAGAAACAAACACAAAATACACAAAAGTGTTTTTAAACAGTGATGTCGGACGTATCGAATTGAGATTTTGGGTACGTTGGAATTAATAACTATTGCGATGATGTGCAATGCATTTATATCAGTTGTTTTAGTTGGATCGTATAGCGTTTTTTCAACAATTATGCAATATATTGATAACATTATACTCATATATAACTGATTTGTCATTTATTTTCTCAATAGTTGACGCTAGCTTGTATTTTTGCTGGCCTGCATATCAGATTATAATTTAGGTGGCTTAGAATAATAGGTTCTGGTGATTAGCGGGATATTTTACAGTAAATACAGTCAGTTAGTGTATAATTAGGGAGTGGTTATGTACAATTTGTCAATTACATTTTTATTGTCTGGTGCAAGGACCTGTGTTGATGCTTTGTTTGTATTGTTATACTGATCTGTATTCTGTAGATATACTTTCTTATATGTGTACCTGTCGATTTGGCTCTTGGTTGATGTTTAAAGTTTTTGCTGTAGCGTTTCCCCCCGGAACCCCGCGACGTTGTCGCGGGGCGGGGCGCTATGTCTATAAGTTAGGGATGGAAGTCGACTACGGCAGGGATTACTCAAGCAAACTATATAAAGTTCACATAGTTTTATTTACACACCCATGATATCAGGTATTTTCACACAATGTCCACTCGGAATCAAACACTCGATCTCACATTACTCCACAAATATATTTCCATCAGAATAAGGTGTTATTCCCATATATATGATTTTACATGAGTTTTCATTTCATATGAGATTTATGAAACGAGTCCAAGAATTTTTCAATTTAGCGAGCCTGCGGCGAACCAAAAAGAAAAATTCGTGACGAGTTTCATAAGTTTCATATTAAATGAAAACGAGTGTAAGATCATTTTCATCACATATTCAAGATCTGTGGCATTTATTCGTGTAAAACGACAATTTGCATGTAATCATGAAATGTATAAAGCCGCCATTGTTGTTGTTGTTGTTGTAGATTCCTCCACTTCCTGGAGAACTGCAGATCCACTTGAGGTTAATGGTTCCACATAAAGTCCTATCACACAATTATAAAAACCTATTATGATAAAAAAAAAAAGAAGATCTGTGATCTTCTTGTCTCTGGTGAGAGTTGATCGCACATCCATGGCTCCCATTAGCCTAGTAGGTTTGAACGCGCACTATGTAAGGCAAAACGAAGTCCACCACTAATCTGTTCAATGTTTGTACGGCCATCTGTTGATATCAGCGGGTGAGAATTACTGTCAAGTAACAGCTGGACTGTTTCATCTGCACTGAAGGATGAGATGTCAATAAGTTAATCGGCAAGCGTCTTTCCTAGGGACTCGATATAGGGCTCACGCAATGACTGTAACGTCTGGCAACTTAATAGAAAGTGGCACCGATCCTCTGCACCATTACCACACAATGGACAGGTTGGTTCCACCTGGAACTGGTTGAACTTGCTTCTGTTGGCTTGCAGTGTATATACTCCGAGCAGGATTTTACACTTGAGATGAGCTTTAGTGACTGTCATTGGTTCTGTTCCAGCAGACTCCCATGTGCTATGTACTCTACCGATGGTTAGCTGATCCACGTCCAGATATTTCAGGCTCGTCTTCCCTTTTGCATCCTCCTGTAGTGTTCTTTCCAAGTGTGAATTTACAGCCTGGTACACTTGTTTTTCCACGACAGTTTTCCAATAGGGTTTTCCAGTATGTCGTGAGCACTAGGCAAGTTATACTGCTGTAGGATGCCCTTTACGGCTGCAAACCAGCTATGTGAGTTTTTATCTTTGATGGCCAGTTGTCTTTGTGCTAGCTCGTTTTCAAGAGATTCATAATCCCTCCATACACTGCCAAATGTGGTTAAGATGCGTTTGTGTATTTCCGCTGTAAGTGGATGTTCTCCAAGCATAAGGTAGGTGGCAGCGTCGGAGACTTTGTCCGGTAAGTACTGGATTTGTTTTAGAAGCCTTTTGTAGTAGCAATCTAAGTTGTTACTGTCTTTGGAGCTGAGACGGATGACATCCAGGCCATACACCAACCTGGGAACAATATATGTCCGTATGAGGTGCCACGATACTTTCGGATTTAATCCATTGATCCCGTGGAGGCCTGCCCCCATTAGGGCATATGCGGCTCTTCTCGCAGTGCTGGTTCTATCTGATGTTACACAGTGTGTACCATGTTTAGATGTACTGTCTCTTGAAATGCCGAAGTGCACAGCCGAATCGGAAATGGTTATGTCCTTATCGTTTAGCATGAAGGATAGTGTGGTATCCCGTCCCTTCGTCAAACATAGTACCGTTGACTTTGTTTCGCTGATAGAATATTGTTCCAAATTGGCGTAGTTTTCCTGAATGGTGAGAATCGTTTGGAGTTCATGCGGGTTGCTGGAGGCAAATGTTACGTCGTCCGCCACTGTCGGAGTGCCGCAGTATATAGTTCCAATATGGCTGCCAATGTTGTGGGCCTCCAGCATCTTCAGGAGGGGATTTATAAACACCTTGTAGGCTGCTAGCGACCACACTCCCCCTTGTCTTACACCCTGTTTCTCACAGAATTCCCTGGAAAATTCGTTCCCCCATTTGACCTTTGACCTAAGATCCTTATACCACTCGTTGAGTATCAACCATTGTCTCCCGGTGATCCCTATGGAGTGTAGCTTCCTCAGCATTGAGCTATGCCGAACCTTATCAAATGCTTTGGCAGCGTTTATACATCAAAGATACAGGGGTTCCTTTCTGTCCTTTGCTTCTGCGATGAATTCCGTTACTATTAGGCCAGCTCTTGTCGATGAGACTCCAGCTGTAAATCCATATTGGAGCATACTTTGACACGAGGCTGTTTGAGATTCCGCTGTTTTCAAATGGAGTTTTTCAAGCAGCTTCCCAGCGATGCTAGACACTGTAATTCTCCTGTAGCTGTTTGGATCGGATAGAGGTTTACCTTTGTTCTTAAAGATGGGTGTGACGATTCCTAGTTTGAATTGGTCTGGCAACTGCCAGGTCTCCAATATAATGTTCATAAGCCTTGTAATAGCTGTCAGCAGTTTTGGCCCTCCATTCTTTAGGTGCTCACTCGTGACTCCCAGCACGTCGGGTGACTTTCGATTCTTCATCGACATGATGGCATCTTTTACATTTTCTTCATCTAGATATATTTTCTGACCAGGTTGCATTTGTGACTTACATAGGTCTTCTAGCAGTATGCGATCGAGCTCCACGTGGTTATTATACGACTTGTCCATAATACTGCCGGGTTCTGACATTGCTAGTTCTTCAAAGTACTCTGCCCATCCTTGCCTAATATCATCTGTCGTTTTAAGAGACTGTCCATCAACAATCAGATGGGATGTATTTTTAGCTCCATCTTTCCGTTGTTCTTTTATCAGCTTATAAAAGATGGTCTGGTCTCCTTCATGAGCCTCTATTAATTCGTTATACCTCAGTTTACGTCGCGTTGCAGCAGACTGACGCTGACACAGCCTAAGTTTCTTCTTTGCATCTTTCATGTTTGTATAGAAAACATTGTCTGGTTCCACTGGTCTGCCATTTTCCTTCCATTGCCAGTAGTGTGCTTTGCTTTCCTTGCAGGTGTTCTTTACCTCTGGTGACCATTCATACGCAGCTTGTCCTGTGTGGTTTACATAGATCAGATGCCTCGGTAACGATGCTGCATAGGGTTGATGTTATCGCAAAAACAGAGTATTCGCTGTCCGTGTCCGACTCGTCCAGCATTCTTGAAACTAGTTCCTGGTATTGTTCCATGTCTATCTTATCCCAGTTTGTTTTTGTGATGACATACTCTGGTTTATGGCTGATATTCAATGTAGCAATAGGCAGACATACGGTACACTGGATCGGATCGTGTTGGGATGTATTCAGTGCCTCCCTCTGAAGAGTCCTGTATGACTTTATGATGTGAGTGTTTGCTTTGTAGTATATAATCTATTTGTGTCATGCTGTTTCCACTTGGATGGTAGTAGGTGTTACAGCAGTCCTGATCTGTGGCCTTGGATAGCCCATTCTCCATCATAATTGATATTAGCATTTTGTCCCTTGTTGTGGGTGCTTCCCTCCTTAATGATGCGTTGAGGTCTCCCGCCAGTATGATATCGCAGGATGGTTTATATTTTTAGATTATTTCATGGAGTATGTCCAAAGAGTCAGCATATTCCTGGTCTGCCGCTGCGTTGCCCCTGCATGGTAGGTAAACACCTATAATGATAAGAGGAGTGGAGGCAGAGTTGATTCTGATGCCCGCAATTCTTGAAGACCCGTCTGGGAGTTCCTCTGTACAATCGCTAAGTGTGTCCATGTAGCATATCGCTATGCATCCCATTCCCCGTGGGCGTTAAAGCGGTGATATGGGATCATACTCATCTACTGATCGTACAACACATCTATAATTAGGTAAGAAGAACCCTTCTACATTGTAGGATATAACTGTGACATTCCCATCCTGTACGGTGCCGCTTCAAGCGGAACCATATAGTTGTGTTTTGGCGGCATCACTAGCTGTATCTGCTGGAGAATTCGTTCGCTCGGATGTAGGACCACCTGTCTCCATGGAGGTTTTGTTTGTACAAGGCGCTGGGACAAAAAATGCTGCTGTTGTTGTTTCTGCTGCTTGTGATTTATCTTGTCGTTCCTGTTTGTGTTGGGCCTTGATTGGGTTACAGATTCCGAAGACGTGCTTGTCGTATTATCATCGGTCCCCTCCATCTTGGGGGAGGCAGTCTGTGTCGGTTCATGATGTTGCTGTGCATTTCCTCCACTGGTATCCTGTCTGTGTGTATCCTGCTCTGCAGAATGTAGAGTGTTGGTTTGTAGGAGTGATGTGGCTTCCCTTACGTCCGGTGTGGCATTCTTGACGCTATTCCGGTTTCGCTAGTTAT